CGGGCCACATGTCTTCTAGTTTTTTGCTCGCCTCGTCCACAGCCGTGGGAGCAGCAGTCGACGCCTGACAGATTCGGGCTGTTCTGACGACAGGCAGACGTTTTGGCTGCCCTCCGTATACTCTAATCTGCGGAATCAGAGAGAGAAACCGTAGTTGGTTGGGGTGGATGCAGTTGCAGGCCAATCAGGACTGTGTTCATCCGGGAAATCTGAGTTCGTGATTTCGTTTGCAAAGTATCGGGGCTCCTAGCTCTGAGCAACATGCACGTCCACAAGGCTTCTTCACAGCGCCTCCACACATCGACTATCTCAGGCTAGCATTCATACCTCAGCCGACTTGTTCGCGACGACTTGCATCTGAAATAAGAACCCGAAATCACGAACAGCAAGAGGGTCCAGTGCGCATTCGTTCTAGCGTCCAGTGCGCATTCATGAACGAACAAGTCCAGCGCGCAGTCTTTATCTTTCAGTCTTTCAGTAAAGGCGCGGGTGGGGTTTCAGGTTTGGTGTTTTAGGGTTTAGGGCTCAGGGCTTTGGGGTTTAGGGTTTTAGGGTTTTTTTTTGTTGAGGGCCTTTTTCCACCGAGGTAGTGAGCCCGTAGCGGGCAGGCTGGTATGTCCCCTCGAACACTGGAAGTCAATTGTTTAGGGTTTAGGGTTTAATTTTTTAGGGTTTAGGGTTTTGAGGTTTTGGGTTCAGACTTTAGTGTTCAGGGTTTGGGGTTTAGGGTGGTGAGGGTTAAGGGTTGAGGGTTTAGGGTTTAGGCTTCAGGGTTTAGGCGGGTTTCAGGTTTAGTGTTTTGGGTTTAGGGTTTAGGGCTTTGGGCTTTGGGGTGTAGGGTACGTACTTTGGGTCTTCAGGGCACTTAGGGTATTTCGATTCTGGGGGTCTAGAGTTGAGCCTGACCTGTACACTCTACACACCGACCCAAGCGGCCAGCGCGCACTGGATTTGGGGGGTCTAGAGTTCAGCCTGAGCTGAACACAGCGACGCACTTGGCGAGCGCACACTCGGCCTCGTGACTTAAGCCTTACCTCCGCCCTCTAAACAAGTCAGCGAGAGCACTGTGGACCCTGTAGCGAATGCACACTCGACCTTTTCGCGAGCGCACACTCGACCCCACCCCCCGCGAACATCAAAATGCCCATCGGAAGTCTCGAAAATTGCCGTTGCCTTCGCCCGAAAGCTGACCTATGTGCTGGATTCTAGTACCTTTTCCTTGCTTGTGAGCGAACCTCATCCATGGCTGTGGGAGCAGCCGGTGCAGCCGATGCCTCAACTGACATGCATCACATAATCCGACCTTCTGACACAATCCTGCCTTGACGTCTGCAGTGCTCGATGCCTCTTCAGCCAATCTTTCGCAATGCAGGACATGTCCATGCTTGTTACGCTAAAGAGGATTGGTAGCGGTGGCGCTACCCAACGCAGTCTTGCCACGAGTAGAGAGCGAGTTGAGGATTGAACATGGCCGTTGGAAACGTTGCATGGTGGAGGCCAGGGCCTCGTCGGCCGTGGGAGCAACGCTCGCTGAGGCCTGTTCCATTGATCCAAGCACGTCATGAATCACCAAGAACCCACAAGATGTAAAGATGTCGACCTCGTCGCGGGCCGTCGCAGCTGCGCTCGCGGCCTGCATGGGCATGAACAGAGGCTCAACGTTTGATGCGCAGCTCGAGGGTGAGCACATCCAAACCTTGTCCATGGCAGTGGGCGCAGTTGTCGTTCGCGCCTGCATGCGAACGACGTGAAAATTAGGCACTAGCATCTTGATCTCGCCTCCCGAATCCCAACAACCTGCTGGGAGCCGCACGGACGCAGGTGCTGCAGTGGGCACGTCCAACTCAGTTGGCAAACTGTCGTAGGCTGCATCTAGCCTCGGTGTCGGGCACAACAGTGCAGGCAACACAAGTGGTACCGAACTCCAAAGAGCCCGACAGCCTTTCCAAGTCTTCTTCCAGCATTTCCTCGTCCTGGATCACTCCAAGTTGCGACATGTCAAAATAGTGTCGATTCAAGCCGACACCGGTCAGTACAGGCCACCGAGATTGACAGCACAGTAAACTTGAGAGCTCAGCCTGTTCGGTCTCAGCCGTTGCACCTTTACCGGAAGAGGCCTGCGCTGCTGGCTTGCCTGACGATTGACTTCAGCAAGGCGTTGAGATTCTTGACAGATGTCTGCTTCCCCCCCATCAGGACTGCTTGGCTGCCTGTGGCAGCTGGGTCTGGCTTGTCCACATCAGCGTCAACCTCACCAGGAATATTCGCAGCCCAGCAAAACTTCACCTGAGAAGTTCTCTCCTCGCCTTGGCCTTCTTTACTGCTGGCTCGTCCTTAGAAGCCTTGTGGCGGGCAAGGTTTTGCTGCGCAAAGTCGAATTGGCTCTGGCCTCGCCCGCAGCACCCCGGCCTGAGTACGAAGCTTCGCTCCCTGTCTGGGGATCTAATCGTTGGGATGAACATGCTTGCTAGCTGCTTCACCAATATCTAGCCCAACATTGCCAGTGACTGTCGTCGAATAATCGCAAAATCGTTGCACGGAAGGTGACCAGACACAGCATTTCGATTAATTGCCTGCGCCAATGCCGATGGCTAAGCATCGCGGAACGTGCGAGAGTGGGACTATGGTTAAATGCAAATCAAGCATAGCTGCAAAGACACGAAACACAAAGCCGCCTGATCCTTACATGCTAAAGCCGTGAGCCTTAATGCAGGAGACCCTAAATCCCAGGCCGCAACCCTTCATACAAAGCCCAGCCCGCAAGTACAAATATCTAAACCCTTACCCTAAAGACTCAAACCCGAAGTAAGTATCAGAGACTGAACAGCAACCCTTATCCCTTGCCATAAATATTGAATGCTGGACAATCCAGTGCCAAATACCTTTCCTTCTAGTAGTCTGTTATTGCCCCACCGAGACGAAACCATCCTAAAACAGTTGGCTTGGGCCGGTGCCAGCCCCTTTCGCTGGCATCAGCCCCAGCTCAATCAGGCGACGACGGACCTGTGGTCTGAAAGGGGGCGCGGGGACTAACAGGAACCCGTGTGGGGAGAAACGGAAACCAGTTCTGGGGGTCGTAACGGGAACGAGGGCTAGTACGAACAGGAACCACGCCGGGAGCCTAACAGGAACTGTCCCAGGAAAGCCAAGCAACCGAAACTATGCTGGAACTCTTGTGTGGGGGACCGGGTCTCGGTCCCTACTTTGACACCATGAAGGCCTTATGCTGACGCCTATGTTTCGTTCCAAGCATACAGAGTTTGGGGTTGAAACAGATTCACGATTTGGGATATAGGATGCCAGTGGCAACACGCTCCGTGTCTCTGAAGCCACAAGTTGTTCCGTTGTTCCTTCATATTGTTTTGTCGGAGGAACATGGATGGATGTTGCATCTTACAAGAAGGTTCGTAATAATGCAAGTGGAAGTTGTCGTACTACGAGTAGTATAGGTGGCAGGGCCAGGCTTTCGCCTTCCATCGTGGACTGACCGGCGCCAGCTTGGCTTGTTTTCTGAGTTGAGGATTTAGGCTTGCGGATTTTAGGACTCCGCGGCTGTAGAGGTATTTAGAAGGTTTAGGGGTTCATGGTTTTAGTTATTTAGGGGTTTAGGGTTGACGGGTCAAGTTCAATGGTTCAGGCATTTGCCGGTTGAGAACGGCTTCAAACGCTCGAGAATGGCTTTAAACCATCGAGAACGGCTTTGCGGGTTTGGGGTTTCCGTCAGCTGTTAGCACCAGAAGTAGGACGAAGAAAGAAGTGACGAGACTACACACAGGAGCCTTCGTCATACGATCGTGCACACAAGTCACGAAAGTTGCAGTTTCACTCGCAACAAACACACGCAATGCTATTTGGAGCGTTAATGGCAACATCGATGCTGTAGCGATCGGAAAGTCAGGACAAAGGTGTTTCTGGACATATGGGGTCACTTTCTAGTGCTACATGACATGACGTTTTGAAGCCGCATAAGTGGACCGGAAAGCGGACCTGAGTTGGCGAGCCCACAAGAGCAGGTGGATGTGAAACAAATCATTCTTGGTGTTACAGGGACTGGTGGTTGCTGTTACAGGATCGGTCCCCGTTCCTGTTACGGATTCTCGTTACGGACATCCTGTTCCCGCTACGGCAAACACTCGTCTGAAAGGCTGTGGAGATTCAGTGGAGATGTGCTTTGGGCAATAGCTGAGCACGATACTAGGGCATCAAGCTATTGGGTTGAGGGAAGCAGGGGGGGGGCATGAGGGGATTAGTTTTCGGGGTATAAGCGTTCACGGTCTTATGGTTGAGGTTCAGTGTTGCGGCTTCTACATGCGCATCAGGCATGCGAAGCTGCGAATAGTTGCACATGCCCACGACGCTCGTGTCTCTGCGTGTGACTACGTCTCATGTGTTCAGTGACGTGCATGCTTTCTGTTGCCAATTGCTGTTGACCACTGCGGACACGAAGCACTGTTTCGGCACATACTGTACAATATGAGTGATATGATGTTTCATTGTATGTTTGCCACGGCCGTAATCACACAAGTGCGAAGAGAGGCGCCTGCAGAGCCGTTCGGCAGTTGTCTTCTGGCAGCTCGGCGACCAACACTTCTGCACAAAGCGGATGCTCAGCATACCTTCATCGAACTTACAATTGTTTGGGAATGCCCTGCTGCTGGAACATCACTTGAAGCCAATGCATCGACCAGAGCCGAGGAACGCAGGGTAGCACCGCCGCAAGATGGCGTCCTCCTCCTCCGTCCAGCCCTGCCCCTTCATCACATCGGCACGCCTGGACTCAGCCCACGGTTGCGCATGAAGCCACGTTTCTTCATTTCTTGGTGCAGCACTGCTTCTTCATGGCTGTCAGCGTATCTCCAGCATCCATCCTTCCAAAAGCGGCCACGACCCAGGCTTGAGTGCATGAGTGGCTTCGCCACATTTCGCTTCAAGAGTCCTGTCCAAGATTCGTCGATACGCTTCTTGTTCGTAATTCGTCAATATAGCACCGAACTCAACGGCACAGGACCTGAAGTTCAGAGACAGCGGCTCCAGTCAGCGCCTTCCTAACTCTTCGGTCTGCGGCGCCAAGAGTGTTCTTAGCTCCGGGCTCCACTTGCTCTCTCTGGCTTTCCTGTATTTTGGGGAAGAACCTGAAGCCGTCACGCACGCTCCCTGTCCACGGCTATCTGTCAATCTAGCCGGCCTGGACATCGAATGACGATATTCCAGATGGCTCAGCTCACGGCAGTTCCGCAAAGGCGCACTTGTTGGTTGCGGCACATTTGAAAAACTCGCGCAGGATGAAGCGGAGCAAGCCTGGCTGATCGGAGAGCAAATTTGGCTGTGTTCAACGCTGGCGTTTCTGGTCTCAACATCGCTCGGCAGGAGACCCAGAAGGTCTTTGTACTTCTCTGCATTCTTCGTGCTGATCAGCAGTGGGTCCGTCATGATTCTCTGAATGCCTGCTGCAGCAACTTTAGCATTGCTTCGAATCAGCAAGATCATTAAGCATCTGGAGTTGAGATCTCAGGCATGGGTGGTTTGCCAAGGCGGCCACGCTGGAAGTAGGAGACCTCGAAAAACAAGACGATGTTCGTGGGCTGTGCCTCGCTTCGAGGCAGGTGTCTCGAACTCATGCGAGCACTGCGCAAGGAAATCGCCCATGGTTTCTCCATGGTACGTCCATGATGCTGTGGATCAGCTTGACGAGCATGGACTGGAGTGTCGGTGTATGTCGCTTGTACCTCTAAGGGGCAATCTCAGCCCTGGCGCGAGTGGATGGAGACGTTTGGGTTCCGGTTCACTTCTCCAACAGGTGGAAGAGGTTTTGCACGACTCTCGAGTCAGCGATGCCTCGGCAGAAGAGGCTTCGTGGAAGAAGAGGTAACGCGCAAACGCCAATCAAAATTTGCGGCCTGTGATCTCCTTCTCCACCGATGTGCTGGAACGCGTCATGTGCACTCCACGAACCCGCTCAACCTCAACAGGGCATGGGTTCAATGACGGCGACGGTACCTACGTGTACCTACCCACACGCTGCAGAAACATCAAGGCCGGCTCCTGGAACTCAGCCTCTTCACCCCTGCAGATCTCTCCGTTCCCGGGCCAGGAAGGCTCAAGTGCGCTCGCGGCTGGCCTGTCGCCACCCCGTGTCTTCATCATCGTTGTTAGATTGTGCCAGACCTGTGCTCGGACCGGGCATCTGAGAGCTGCAGCATGGCCTAGATGCAGACGCCTCCACTGAGTAGGAGAGAATGCGAGGATCATGCACTGCGGAGTTGAAGTTCTTCATGACCCATGCGAGGTTTCCCAAGACATCCTCCTGTTGCGGAAAGCGGACAATCCAATCGAAGTCTGGCGGCCAAGTGCCATCACGTTCAAGCCTGTCCTTGACGGCGTGAGTCACCAAGAGGTCTCCGCAGTCTCGCGTGTCAGAGCCCTCGCACCTTGAGAAAAGCCCGCGCCAATGCCGGAGCCGTGTTTGTGCCAACAGAACATGCAACAATTACAATTACATGGGTTGCAGGTGGGTATGTGCTCATGCAACTGCCGACTGGGACGAGAGCCCGGTTATGACCTTGATCGTCTGGATTTGTGCTGCCAGCACCCGGAGAACGATGACCAGGAAAGAAGAGTGAATTGCGGCGTTCTGTCAGCGAACCGGCTCGAAGTTGCCGCGCCCGAACATGTTTTGCATGGGCCTTGCCGTAGTCACGAAGCCGAGCTGTAGTAAACTGGATCATATCCAGATCCTGGCACACATCTTCTCGCCAAAACGAAACCGAAGCCAGGTCTAGGTGTGCTTTGCAAGCAGCCGCATGAGTGAGGACACGGCAATCGCCCCCTGGATGACAGCTATGTCCATGTCAGGGGGCCTCAAGCATGGACACCACCTATGGCCTCGAAACGAGAGAAACAATCCCCCTTCTTGGTGCCAAGCGTTGAGCTCGTCTTCTCCGCCTCCTTGACCTGTTACCCAAGCGCAGTAAGAGCTACAGCATATCCGAGCGCGTCGAGGCTAAACGACAGTTTGACAATCTCGGCTCCAAAGCATCGGATGATCCGTCCTGTATTGCGTGCTGGCCACGGTGGAACTCCAGGAACCAGCAAACGAAGTTCAGCAGGTGTGGCCTGCGTGGCTGGTCAGCTGCAGTAGCCATGTCGTCAAAGCTTCCAACTCAGGACAGCACATGTCGAATTCTGAAGTGTCTTCTCGTTGGCTGTCAGGTTCTTGGTCGGCAGTCCAGCGTGTGATCAAGTGGCAGAAGCACAGAGAAACACGGCTGCTGTTACTGGGCAGCACGCTGACTTTGCAGCTGCTCCGCATGATGCTCACGAGTGAACTAAAGGAAGCCGAGCAAAACTTCTCGAAGAAGGTGCGATAACCTGCACTCAGTACTGCCTTCATGCTTTGGCAAGCTCCTTGGATCAGCCCACGTGATTTGCAGAAAGTGGCGACCTTGAAGGATCTTGAGCGGGTGGTACATGCGGTCGTCTAGAACTCCCCGCCTCAGTACAAGCACCCGGCTCGTGCGACAAACTCCAGTCCCAGCAATAGGGGATGGATCGGCGGGAGCGACCCCGCTTGGATGCAGGCACATGTGGATTGACCTGGTTGTACTCCCGAACAGACCTCGGCGGTGCAGAGAATTAGCATGAACACTAGATTGCTGGCAGTTTCCACTATTTGCCATCAGAAGAATCGAGAGTAGAAGCCCATGCGCAGACTGCAAACGGTCGATGTGGAGGATAGTTTTCGCACGACATGCTTAAAGCTGTTGTAGATGTCCAGTGGCAACCGTGTAACAAAGGCAATGTCGGTGTCGGAGGTACGTCCAAGTTGTCGATGCTGCGCCTCTCGCTCCAAGCCTTCTGGATGTACGAGCATGCTATGTAAACACAAGGCCTTCCGCGTCCGAGTTCTCAAACAAGATCGCATGTGGGCAGAAACTGTCGAATGGCTTTTTGTAGTGTGTCTGGTCAGGCACAAACAGCGAGCGACGAAGGTGCGCAAAAGATATGTTACAAACGCATTCACAGGTAAGCGTCCGCAGCACTTGGCTGCTGAAACCGAAAGCTCAAGGGAAGCCGTGGAGCGGCGCGGGACCACTTGGGCCTGTAGCACACCGCATCGGGTGGAAGAGCTGAGATCCGGGCCCTTCACAAAGATCCACGAAAAACAGACTGTGGAACATGTTGGTCTTCTTCCCGTTCGCTTCAGGATTGCGGAACTCTTTCTTCAGAAGCCTGGGAGGACAGCCGTGCTTCCAGTTCGTCATCTGTGCAGCTGCAATGTCTGGGATTCCCGCGCGCCGCTCTTCTGCATGATGCCGTTGTGCTGCACGGACGACGACAACTTGGCGGACCAGGCAGCCCAAGGTTCTCCAGCTGCACACTGTACATGAAAATTCCCTGGTGTGCTTTCTGAACAGATGGCAAGCAAAATCTTGCATGCCACGCAACCAGCATGGAGCCGTCACGAGACATTGTCGCCATTGACCTGAGCTGAGTCAGTCCAGTCACTGCTCGCCACGAAACCTCTTGCCCGAGAGCAACAAAAATTCGATCCTTGTGAGGCATGAGCGTTCCGAAGCGGCTGTGCCTGGAAGACCTCAGAAGCGCAGTTACAGTTTCTTGGTGTGTCAAAGAAGCACGGCGTTGCGAATGAATAGGCACGCGGCGGCGGCGCCATGAGCTGCCAGGGACACGTGAGTTCATGTGAAACCGTGCTCGAAAACGTGTCTCTCACGCACCGAGCCACCTTCTGGTCTGCCTTGTCCCGAGCCAAGAGGTCGGCCAAGTCGCTTTTTGGCCTCAGGGGCGCCATGTTAAGCTGACCAGGACTCTGCGTTGGATGGCTGAGAGCCGTGCTTGTTTCGATCCTTGTTGCTTGTCAGCAATTCCTGCAGCTTGAATGTCATGGATATATCAGGGAATCAATCATTTGTACCCCGGGACATAGCAACACGTTTTCATTACAGCCGGCTCCGCTCTACATGGATCGCTATTCGAAACGTTGTGCTGACCGGAAAATGGTCAGAAGGATACCGGCCACTTGCCATGGAATCGGTGATTACCTTGCTCTGTAGAGGTTGTAATCTCGTGCAGCCTGTATTTTCTGGTAATCCATCCAGGAAGAGAATCCAATCAATGTGGCGGCTGTCATAGCCCTCGCCCTGTGACAAATCAACCGTGCCGTCCCCTCGATCCTCGGCAAACGATACGCCCTGCCACTTGTGGATCGTGCTCTGCACGCCACCGGTATCCACCACACCGTCGCATCGGAACGCATCTTTCAGAGGGCGAGCTGCTGTAGTGGTTGGGCCAAGATTCCCCACCAGAACAGCGTATGGCTCACTGGACTTCGGTGAGTTAAAATCGCCACACAGAATCTGGGCACAGGCAGGCATTCTCCGCGAAAAGCGTGCAATGGAGTCAGAAATCATACGGGCTGACTCCAGACGGGCAGTGGAACCTTGATGATCAAAGTGAGTGTTCAAGATTCGTATCAGCCCACCAGACCCCAGGATGTCGAGCAAGACAGCCTCACAGGTGCGCGGGAACCGGGCGTCCCAACTTGGGATGCCATCAGGGGCACCCGGAGATGACAACCAGAAGACCGAGTAGTCCAGAATTTTGGCACGACCTGTATCAATGATAAAACCAGCTGACTCGTCGGGCTCGTCTGGTAACCGCGATGTGGCCTTCCACTCGTATTTGCCATCCAGATGCAAGCAAATATCGTGCAGCATTGCGACCGTCGCTTCTTGCACACATACTACAGCAGGTCTGTATTTCGCAATTAGACTTGCGACTCCTTGGCGCCTTTCCGGCCAAGCATTGAGAGGGTCCTCCTCCTTTACCTTCTCAGTTCGAAGATTGAAGCTCCAAACTTCGATCTCACTGGAGGCTTCTCCGTTCGTGGCGCAAGTCCTCAGAGTTTTCAACCGCGAAAACCTGGACCGGCGGAGCGAACCCAAGGCAAGCATTGGGCACCCGCCCCTGAGGCCAGCGAGCCACGAGGTGAGGCTGGAAATTTTCGACTTAGAGGGGCACGGTGGAGGCTTGCGTGCACACAGAGCTTGAGTGGCATCTGAGCTCCTGCTGACAAGACCGCCTGGCAAGCAAGCCCCCGACAGACGACACGAAACCCCGTGGCCAAGCTTGAGCATAGTCAGCTGACGCTCTTAACCTGTTCGTCATGTTGGCTGTGAGATTTGTCGCTCAACGACTCTAGCAGACCGTGGCGGTGCCTTCAACCTCACGGGGGGGGGGCTTAGCAACCTGGAGTCAGCCAAGCGAACATATTGAAGCCAAGTCGCATCTGGATCGAAGTGGGTGCATACATGATAAAGGATGTCCGCAAGCGCCCAAACCTGCCAAAGGAAGAAGCCGAAATGCCAAAGCCTCAAAGGAGGCCCTGGCCTGCTGAGTGTCTTCTTGCTGCTGCTGAACAAGTTCATTTCCCAGGAGCATGAAGAAGTCCAGCACGCCTCTGAGACTCCGAAGACTCTAGCTCCTTTGCACACGCAGCTGCCGCAGCCAGCCTTCTTCGCAAAAGTTGCGAATGAAGGTCATCCTGAGAGCAAGGCTCAAACGATGATGGCTCAGACTCGCACGCTGGGCCAGCCAGAATTGGGGCAGGCTGCAAAATCCGAAAGCTCGAAGGCTTCGATGAAGGTCGAGGTTGAGGAGGCTGAAAGCTCCGCCGTGCGGAACGGAATACGGAATCAGCGCTTTTCGGTCACAAACTTGGAGCACAAAATGGATGCTTGGATTATTGTCGGCATCGCCGGTGCAGTCGGATGAAGCTCCATCCTGGATGGGACAATGCATGCAACCATCTGCTCCGCCTCCAGCTCTGATGTTGAATACGACAAGGATGGCTGAAGGGCCATGTTTACCTTGTTTGGCTTGTTTTGGCCATCGCCCGATAGAAACCCGTTAGACTTTCGGAGGACAGTCCCAAAAGCAACGATCAGCCGGAGTACGATCCCCACCGCCCTTCGCGCTTGTGACGAAACAAACTGTGAGCTTTCCCTCCTCTGGCTGCACTTCGAGCAACTGCGCTGCTTCAATGAACAGCTACTGATGCTGTTCCATCCTTGCATGTCCGTCGTGCGTGGATCCTCTCTCTCTCTGAACGCAGATATCCTGCTTCCTGGCGGAGCCTCACGCCGTGCACGACCGAACAACTGAGCGCACATCGGTTTGGTTTGGCACTGTCACAACATGTCACCGGCAGCTTTCGGCACAGCAGATTCCAGCAAGCACGCACTACGCACGTGCATGCACACAGAGAGGCCCACAGATCGACTGGAGTTCTCTGCGCAGAACGGGAAGCTCTTTCAGAAAGCTGTGGCTGTCTTTGATGTGGTAAGGAGCTGGCTGCATCCTTCCTCTGAGGGGCGTGTAGCCGGTGTCCCCCGGACCTGGATCCGGGACCTGTCAGGTCGAAGAGATGTGCTCTGGGCCGCTCTGGGGCCATGCGCAAGGCCACGGCAGACACGAGATTTCGCAGCAGGAACAGGACATCCTGTCCCACCAAGGTTTTCCCGGTGCCTCTTCCGAGGACAAGACACCAACAAGCGTGCGCTAAGCGGCTCCTTGAAGAGGTGCGAGCCGACCTGGCGACACAAGAGCTCGTCAAAGTGCAGACGAAGAAGCACCCATGCCAGCAGAAGAAAGAATATGTCGCTGGGTGGGTCCAGGCGGCCTCTCCATCTAGAGCTCCTACCAGCAGTCGAACGATCATGCTGAAGATGGTCGGGTTCGTGAACGACTCCTTGTACTCCTCGCTACAGGGCTTGACAGATTCTGTGCAAGACAGCCACACCAGACAAACATGATCCTGCAAATGGGCAAGCTGTTCACGCTCTTGCTCTTGAAGCATAATGCGGTCTCTAGGAGGGGGGCCGTAGACGCCTGACATCCAGGAGCCCTTGAAAGGCAAGGCAATTCAGGCTCAAACTTCTTGTTCCGGCCTACCCGCATTGTGAGAAGGACCATCAGCTTCAGCGCATGGGAAGCTATTTCCGAGTCCTGAAGGTAAGGCCGAGGCTGCCCTAAGTTTGAACCAGGAGCATTGTCTGTGGAGACAGGTAGATAAATAGATAAATGGACAGATAGATAGAAAAACAGACAGACGGGGTCAGAGGTAGCAGATAAATAGACTAATGTGTGTATGCATGCATATGCACGTATATGCGTAAATGCAAGACATGTGTAACATGCATAACATGCACGCATGACGTGCATAGCACCCTCAGTGGAGATTGCCTGCGATGCAGACCACTGCGACACCGTAACGGATGGCCGTTGTCGACACACTTCTTCAAGTTTGGACGCACTTATGGTTGGATTTTGTATCGCACATGTTGCTGGCTTGTATTGCAAAGTGCATGGTTGCGAAAATGTAGGTGTGCATCAGATTGCTGCAACCCTGCATGCATGCATGTGCAGACCTGCATCAAAGCTGGGCAACCTGGCAAAGGCAAAATGCGAGCACGGCCTGAATCTGCTTACAGCAACATGGGGTATGTTCCGCTTTGGCATGAAATCATTCTTCAGGCAGTGCAGCAACAACAGCTTTGAGGATATTTTTGGGCGGCCTTTCGCAGGTACGTGAAGAAGGCCTCCTTTCTTCATATCACAGCAAATCAGGACGGTCTTTGTTAGGCAGCGAGATCCAGCCATGCTCGCATCCCCGCTGCTGCGAAACAGCAAAAGCACTGACGCTGACTGGCAAATGTCCTTGTTTCATTGTGTAAAAAGGCAACGGGTCCAGCTGCAAGACGATTGGAGAGTTGCATCCCTAAGTCCATCACCGAGGACCGTTCACACACACACAAACACACACACACAAACCTGCCTGCCTGCCGCACACACACACAGACATATACACACATTCATACATACATACCCTGCGTACCGACCTACCTACGTGCCTACCTACATACATATGTGCATACACACATCTATACTTCAAAACGATCTTCCATTCCCACGGATTACTACAGCGCCCGGCCAAACCGACAACTTATCTGGTTTCTTCAGTAACAAAAAGGATTTGTTGCATGTCTGACCGTGCCTCGATGTAGGAAGTTAGCAAAGGGACGATCTTCCTTGGCAAGACCTGTCCAAGACTGCGGGCGCGCACGTTACTTGATGACTTGCAGATATGACGAATCTTCGCCTGCCATTCCCCCAGCTTGGCACGGACACAGCCCGCATCCTCATCAAGATTGAGCGCACAAAGCGCTTGCAGGATCCTTCTTGGCAAGGTCCACCGGTCCGTCTCAGAAACTGCTTTCTCCAGGTCTTGCAAGGAAGTTAGGCACCTAGCAATGCAGAGTGTGCCAACGTGCCGAAGCAGAAACTCGCCAGAAGGCCACTCTCAAGCTTTCCCCGCGTCTGAGCAACAGAACTCGTCTCGCTGACGAATGAGGTATTTCAGATTCTTGTTTCCTTCGACCTCTCAAGTCAGGACGAGAAAGCAGCGGCAAGGCTTCCTGCCGTGGGAGGTGTTGCGCCTTGTGGTACTCACCGAGGCCGTAGCAGGTGTCGAAGAGACTCTGCATATCCTTCAAACTGACGCCGTGCCATCACATGTCGCCCTCGATGCCGAGGACCCCGCCGTCTCATCTCTGGCTGTGAAGTCAGAGTCTACTCTTTCTGCGGTCTCCATGCCTTTAACACCCACCCGGCCTACATGGACCCCTTCCTATTCCATCTGGTCCTGATTTGCATGGAAAGGGTCCGCGACAGCTTCATCAATACTTCAGGCAGGCTGCAAACAAGCGCAACGAAAACGGTGGACCTGCGCCCGTCTCTTTTCAACGACGATGCATAGCAAATTCTGGCATCCGCACACTGGCGAGACCATTAACAATAACGGGTCAGGTCAGACCAATCGCCGAGACAGACACTCGGCTTTGTGGTCCAACTCCGCGCATGCATTACCCTAGCTACCAGGCTATCCTGCAGCCGTATTCAGTTGACGGCCAGTGGCAGCCAATCATGCATTATCACATCACACTCACACTGCAAGTACAGGTAAGACGTGCGAGACAGCACTTCTGCACCACTGCGAGCTTTTAGCCCAGCACCAGGTTCGACTGGCCACCGGGAGCTTGATGCACGACCTGAGAGACGCTGACAGCTCCGTGCCCACATCATCCCGCATCCCAGGATGCTTCAAAAATCAGGCAAGCGCAATCCCACGCCGCTCATGCCTGTCATTGCGCTGGTCATTCGAAGGCAAGACCTGTCGAATGGCAATCGCAGCGGCTGAACCTCTCTGCAAAAGAGCCCCACGTCAGACAGGCTGCAGGCCTCGAGGGCTTTGCGCTCCCTGTCCGCACCTGCACACGAAATGCTTTGCAACAGAGCATGGTAAGTCGCACAGACACTCGGAAACGGTGAGAACTCAGGCAAAGTCCGAGGGAAGGCAGCGAAGCGGCGATGGGCCTCAGTCGCTCCCTGACGTCGCCAAAGCACACGAACAGCCGAATGCAGTCAAGAGGCCCAGCATCAGCTGGTACGAAGACCACAGGTTTCGAGAACATTCCTCGCGGCTCTGCCATGAGACGGAAATGAGCGGAAGTGGCTGGCCTGAGAGCTTCTCAATATGAACCAGACGGTCATTCAGATCCTCGCACCAACGGCAGCAAAGTCGATTCTGGTGCGAATTGAATGCAAAGCCGGGGCCTTCTCGCGCTGTTTCTGACCGATCGTCTCGATTTTGAAAGGCAGGCTCATCTGCGCTTTTTCCACTTCCACCTTTCGCTGCCTGGGCGCGGCATGTCTCCTTCTGGAAAAAACATAGCACGGAAGTGCTGGAGCCTGAGGACGTCCAGCGTCTCCTGCCGCTCCTCCTCGTCGACTTTTCTGTATCCTGGCCTTGGAAAAGCGCTTTCCATGGCTCGATGAAGGCGGCTCGAGTCTGAGGCTCCCGCGGAGGCTGAGGTGAGACGGGTCGCGCTGCTCTCCTCTTCTCCTCTCTTCGCTACCCTAAACCCAGAAGTCTCTCTGGGAAACCAGGGTGAAACCATCTGGTCCTCCGCGAGCTCCTCCTGACGTCTCTTCAAGTACGCAGGCACCTGCCCGGCTGCAGAGTCATACTCCCAAGCTCTGTCAAGGCTTCAAGATGCTTCAACCTTGCCAACGTCCTTCCGATCTATGGGAGGAGCAGCATCGCCTGGCGTGCACTGCCTCTCGCCGGGTCCACTCGGGTGCCAGGGCCGAGGACCAGACCAATCCGGACCTTCTCCGGTGCTCGGTTGGCTGACAAGGAGCGAGCCTAATCGGGAAAAGGCCCAGATTCGCCCTGCAAGCCTTGGCCTGGTGCTCTGCAAGCCTTGGCCCGCGCTGCCCCAGGCGCCCCAGGGCCACCTTGCCCCGCAGAATCACTTCTTAAGTGCAGCTATTTTGGGCTTCACAGGCCAGGACATGCAGTCAGTCGAAAATCCTTTTTACGCAGATGTGTCATCTGCTGTTCTCGAGATCCGGTGAGTTGTTTGAAGCTGTCTCGAGCTTCTTAGATTCCGTGCTTCAAACTTCGGGTCGGAGGGGCCTCGTCCGGCTCTGCTGGAAGGCACGGAATCATCGTCTTGTTTGCCTCTTCGTGATGGAGCTTTCGGGTCTACTCCTTCCATTGCTGGTTCACTGGTAGCCTGGCCTCGGGGTGGCTCACTCGGCGCTCTTCGACCTTCAGCATCAAGCCAGAAAGTCACTAGCACCCTTTGCCGCAAAATACCCTAACTCCCTAAGATTTCCTGAACTTTCAACTTCCGAGCCCCAGCTTCACCATTGCTTCTGTGCACTTATCGCCAAGCCGGCATGCCTGCACCGTCCGCCAAGGGCCTTGGGCGTGGCCTTCGCTCTTCACTGGGCCTGCCACTGCAGCTAACATGATAGAGGGGCTATTGCAACGATCGGACTTGAAGATTAGAAGGTTGAATGTACTGCTGTCCGAAGCATCTTCAGGCAACTGAGTTTGATTAGTAGGGGGATGTGCTGCGCTGCGAGCTTCGCTGTCGTTTCTGCACTGTGCCTCCTGGGGTGTGCAGAGCCAGCACTAGCAGGACTGTTTGTCTGTCCTGCGGCGCTAGATTCACTTCGACATCATCGTACCAAAGAGCGATCATGTCACTAGGACAATCGAGCCTGGTGTTGGCTTTGGCCTAACCAGGGCACATGCTCGCATCAGGTCCATGCAGGCCTGGACACGGCCTGGGAGGACGCCCGTAGCCATTGCGCTGCGGGGTGCTGACCTCCGCCTAAGTGCCAGCTCACACCCAAGCTCACGGAATTCATATTGGCTTCGCCTGTATAAGTGGAGAAGGAGGTCGGCCAGCAGGCGATTCTGGTGCAGTCTGAGGAGACGGAGGTGCCTGACAAGCAGCCGCAATTGGCGAGACAAAGTGGGCCGCCGACGGCATGCGCAATGCAAAGCTGTGTGTCAGGCGCGGTCCATCGGATGCACCTCTCGGTATATACGGTACATGGATACCGCAACCGCTTCGTACTGCGGTAGTGGAGGTTCGTTGAACAGTTCGACGAAAAACTAAGGGTGACAGGGCCTTCGCTGGCTCCTTCGCCCTGCTCATCATTATCTCACGCAGTGACGGCATCTCTGGCGGCTGCTCCAGCCGCAATCTAAGGACCGAAGGACAGAGTGTCGACTTTGCCTGAGATACTATATACACTCTGCGTCCTAGGCCGGAGCCTAGGCTAACAAGGGGTCCCTGTGCGGAAAACTAACTTCCGTCCTACCAGCATCATTCTAATTCCTCAAAGTAAACAACTACGACAGTTCCATCATGTCAGCCACAGAACTTCTGATAAACTAAGCTGCTGCTAAGGAAGGTTCTTATGAAACCCTCTGCAGATGTGCAACCGTTCTGCCGAAAAAGGCTCGAGCCTGATGAAAGGGAGGATGACATGCTTGAACCACGTCAGGAGATCGAATTTGGAGACGCTCTCCAAATGCATACTTCGCTGTCAAGCCACTCCTCATCCTCATCATCAGCATCATCACCCTTGCCGTCGTCGTTGTCATCATCATCACATCATCGGAAGAACTTTTTCCGGTGCATTGACCTTGGCGACATGCGTCGCGAGCCGGCTTTGGGCGTGAAACGGACAGCGTGCGATGTCAACCCCAAGGGCTTTTCACGTCGGCTCTGCGGTCACCACGGTCCTGCACTGCAGAGCCAAGGCTAGATGCTCCCACCGTCTCACTGCAATATCCCGCTTGACCCTCGTAAGTTAGACGGATGCCATATTTTGCCCAGCACTTGAAGGCGCAGATCGGGAACCGGCGAGATGATGCCGAGTCCTAAGCCCTCCCCGTGCAGTGCGTCTCCTTCGAAGTGTCCCATGGGGAACGAGGCATATGACCTTGCTGAGCTCCCGTGCCCTGTGCGAGTTCTGGAATTCAGGAATGGAAGGCAACCTACTGCTGGCGCTGTGGTACGCTCCACTATGCTTCAATGACCTTCGCAGCATGCAGTTACGGGCACCCAGGCCAAATCCCTAAGCATGCGATGACGCTGTACTCGCTCTTGATCGTAAGATTGTAAGTATGCCGGAGCTTCGAGCTTGCTCAGCAGAGGGTTGTTTGGGCGCTTGCCCTGTGGGGCCGGGCACTCAGCACTGCCTTCACCAAAAAGCAGCCAGCATGACCGGATGGTTGTCCGAAACTGCGAAATATTTGCCATGCATTTCCATTTTCACGTTGCTCAGCACCGCTTTGTCCACTGAACAAACCACCTGGCTTTGGAGAGGCCCCGCTTTCAAGAAAATGGAGGACCGAATGAGATTTCCGACTTGGCGAAATCTGGACCAATGCATGTCAAGCTTAAGGGCGCTTAGTACCGTTCTGTAGACTAAACAAGTACCGGCATTCCCACTGGCAGACAACAGACAAGTGGAAGGCAAATGGAGACTAAATCCACCAGTCTTGGACCCACATGGGGTCTGCTCACTTCACGAAAGGACACAACTCGGAAACCAATGGGAGACAGCCTGTAGAAGTACTCCTGTAGTACTCCTGCAAAAGCCCAACATGAGCGTCAAAGAATGTTGTTCTAAGCAATACTAAAAGTCATAGCCATAGTAATTATGATAACAGTGTTCATGATGATGCTACTCTTAAACATTGCAGTAGCAGCAGCAGCAGCAGCAGCAGCAGCAGCAGCGGCAGTAGCAGTAGCGATGGCAGTAGCAGAAGTAGTAGCAGGGGCATTGGCAGTAGCAGCAGTAGCAGTCGAAGTAGCAGTTGCAGCAGCAGCAGCAGCAGCAGCAGCAGCAGCAGGAGCAGGAGCAGGAGCAGGAGCAGGAGCAGGAGCAGGAGCAGGAGCAGGAGCAGGAGCAGCCGCAGCAGCAGTAGAAGTAGGAGTAGGCGTAAGAGCAGCAGTAGTAGTAGTAGTAGTAGTAGCAGCAGTAGCAGTAGCAGTAGCAGTAGCAGTAGCAGTAGCAGTAGCACTAGCAGCAGCAGGAGCAGTAGCAGTGGCAGCAGCAGTAGCAGTAGCAGTAGCAGTAGTAGTAGCAGCAGCGGCAGTAGTAGCAGTCGCAGTCGCAGTGGCAGTGGCAGTAGCAGTAGTAGCAGCAGTGGTAGCAGCAGCACAGAAGCAGTAGCAGCAGCAGGAGGAGTAGTTGCAGTAGCAGTAGCAGTAGTAGTAGTAGTAGTAGTAGTAGTGATACCAGTAGTAGTAGTAGTAGTAGTAGTAGCAGCAGCAGCAGTAGCTGTAGCAGTAGCAGTAGCAGTAGCAGCAGCATCAGGAGAAGTAAAAGCATACCA